CTACTGTTGCAACCAAAGCGGAATATCAAATTTCAAAGTTATCATCCCTGAACAATCGACCTTATTCTAACATCGCTTTAATAATCAATTTGGATCTCCCAAGAGACAGCCAAAAACCCTTGGCTCTGATCTCGTTATGAACCAACCCGATATCAAGAACGTCTTCATATCACTTGTTGAGAAACAACCAAATAATTAAAGGCAAAAAATATGAATAATATGAAATTTAATAGATCAAACAACAATCAAGAAGATTGTGGAAGATGAGAATTTATTATACCAAAAAATAAACCATTGTCTTACAAGATTTTGATCCTCTCAATCTAATCTAAACAATTCTCTCTTGTTCTTAATGTATACAACAATAATCTAATTGTTATAATCTCTATTGAGTCTTTCCTTTTCACCTTATGAAGTGTCTATACCTTGTGGAGTATTCATAGAAGTCAAATCTTGAAGTTGTGGAGTCCAAGATGAAGAAGAAATCCTAAAATTCGAATAAAACAGAAAAATCGCGATCAGGTTACTATAGCGCCTTGGCACTACGTCTCGGGTTAACATTCCAAAACATGATTCTTGCAGTCCAAGAGTCCATTTTCAAGCCAAACTCCTAATTATTATTGAAATTTGATCTCCACAACTAAGGATTCTACAAACTCAAGTATCTTAGACTTCCTTCAATCAGCCAAATCCCAAATTACATGGAATCCAATCAACCAAATACTTATAAACCAAGATTAAACAAGCTTTATTCATGCAACAAACTTCTAAATCACATATAATTTTTGTCACAAAACCTAATAAAATTAGGGATCATAACCCTATATATCTATAAGTATTCCAGCCTATGATGAAATATAACTTTAATGGATTCGATCTCTACACGTATTTAGACTCATACTTTAATTAAAGGTAAAATTCATATATAAAAGATTAAGTATGACACATTTCAAAACTAAAAAATTAAGGTTTAAAATTTCAAAAGTCAGATTTTTTTTAAAATTTTATTTATAAACTAATTAATTAAATAAATTAAGTCACAATTCTATGCAAATTGGTCACAAATTTTAAATTAATTGGTCACAAATTATTTCTCTGTCATAATGAAAAATTTAATAAGTCACAGATTATAAATCAAAATTTTATAAGTCAAAATTTATTTATTGGCCACAAATTTATCAAATTAATAGGTCATATATTATTCACTGGTCACAAAATTTTACAAGTCATAGCTCATTTTATGGTTACAAAATATCTAATTAATTAGTCATAGATTATTTTTTTGTCACAACTTATCAAATTATTAGTCACAACATAACAAAATTTTGTGTCACGTATTATTTATTAGTCACAAATTATCTATTTCATTGGCCACATATTATTTATTAAACACACATTAGCCAATTTATTGGTTTCAATCAACCAAATAATTTGTGACCACCGTTGCCGTTACCGCCACAACCGTCGTCGCAGCAACCACTACCACCACCGCCATTTGTGACCATGGCCTCCAGTACAACATTATCAAAACCGTCACTTTACAACCACAACTAGCACCGACTCACCACCAACAAATCCAATCCAATCCAATCCAAAACACCAACACCCCACAATCGCCATCACCTCATCGCCGTCGTCCTTGTCTCCACCATTTCCAACCAACACTCCTTCACCACCATTTTTGAGCCCAAGGTTTCAATTTCTACTTATTTCTTCTATTAGGAAAACAAAGCTTACCAAATTGAGTCAACAATTGATTCTGGTGTATTTTTTAGGGCAGAACCTCAGAACGTGAAATCCCAAAAAAACCTAATCTCAGATCCAACTATACCAATACTTCTTCGCCACCGTCAGATCCACCACCATCATCGCAACAAAGCACCGCATTTTTTAGGGCAGAACCTCAGAACGTGAAATCCCAAAAAAACCTAATCTCAGATCCAACTATACCAATACTTCTTCGCCACCGTCAGATCCACCACCATCATCGCAACAAAGCACCGTATGAGCAACTGGCCAAAGGGTCTCCCCACCGCCTTCACCTCCACCGCCAGATTTACACTCCCTGCCAGCACCTCCACCTGCACCACCAACAAAAACTACCCCAAACTCCTAACTAACACCAAAATATGGAAAACCACCACCACCACTCCTACAACCAAAACTACCTCATTGTTGTCGCCAGATCTACCACCACCTGTAGCACTACCATCATCACTGAATTGCAGCAAAGACATGGACGAAGTTGCTTTGCGACGTAGAGTCATCGAGGAGCCACAGCAGCGACAAGTGCTACAACATTGAGCAGCGGTCACTGTGTTGTAGTGCGTGAGCATCGTGCTGCAACGTTGTTCAATTCACCATAATGGTGTCATCGCCATTGCGATACTGGTCTCCCGTTCGGTGTTTGTGATAGGGAGGCAGTGGCAGTGATCTCCCAAGAGAAAAAAAAAAGTGGAGAGGAAAAAAGATTTAGGGTTAGGGATGGGGATGGGGATGGGGATGGGGATGGGGATGTATATTAATTACTGCTAAAATTGTTTAATTATCATCTCATTTTTGTGTAAAAATCCTTTTAAATCTTATTTTTGAAAATGAAACTTAAAAAGTAGGATTTTGTGTAATTTTCACTTTAATTAAATGCCCAAAACCCATAATTTTAATTCTTTATTAGAACACTTTAAAAATAACTTTTATACACAATTAATTCAATATGTAGGCCCATGTGGCAAATTAAAACCCAACAACTACCATATTTGTGGCTTTACAGTATTCGAAGGATTGTTATCTCCTATTTTTGCCAAGTTTGCTTGTTCCCAGTGCCGGAGTCAAGAGAGGTCAATGGGATCAGAAAGCCCCACTAGATTTTGGAGATTTTTTTTTTTTGATATTTCAACTTCTATATTTTCCCTAAAAATGTAATAAAGAAGACGATTTACATATTGGTAAACTGTTTTTCCTCTGTACTCCAACATATTCCCCAATCCCAAAATACAATTTCCTTAATAACTAATTACATAATCTGTTATTGATAATGTTGACCTCAAAATCCGACGGACGTGTGGCCAATAAAATTTCAGTCACCTCCTCTCCACGTAGGTGTCACCCGTGCATTTGAATACCTCATTAAGAAGCAAATGTTACAGTCGAGAAAAAGGTCCAACGATAGTTTCAATCAAGTCAATTGTCAAACGAGAGAGAATTAGTGCAAGAGATGGAAGAGGAGATTTGATTAATGTTAAAATTACACACCTTTTGTGAAATGGACTCACAACATGTTTACATATTGTGATCTCTTGTAATTATTAGTTTGGGCCAATTAAGATAAGCCATCACCTTCATTTCACAATCGAAGCTCCTCTCCCCATAGATCGAACTTATTTGGGCCGATTAAGATAGCCATCACCTTCTGTCAATCATCTTGTGTATTATCTCAACACCAAGTGGCCACAATTGTATTTATTAGCAGTCTGCATTGGACCATCACCACGTGGGTTCAATTTTCCCCGCCTGCTACAGTATTAAGAAGTCATGGCGACGGTCAAAGTATAGTAGCAATCAATAATTCTACTTGTACATCAACATCCATACATAAGGGTGTACATCCTCCTTACATAGGAGTGGACCCCACTATGTAAAATATTTTTTTTATTTTAGCGGGACCCATCCCCATGTGAGGGGGATGTACACCCCGATGTACATCCCGATGTAC